GCTGTGGGCAGTCCCCAGCTGTTGCCTATAGAATAGTTACACTCAAGGCTTTGTCCAGATGTCCATGTCCATGTCCTTCTCCTGGGTAGACACATGGGAAGGGCTGAGCCAGTGGGGCAGAGGTTTTCAGGAAATGCCAACACCCCTTCCAAAGTGCTGTCCCCACCTTCAGTGTGGGCCTTCAGCTCCTCCCAAGCTTGTCTGCTGAAGGTATAACCAATCTTTCACACCTTAGCCATTCTTGTGGGTGAGCCATGGTGCTCCGTGGGGTGGTTTTAGTTTGCACGTCTCCGATGTTGAATCTTTTTGTGTGATAATTTGCCCTTTAACTTTTTTTTTTGGTGAAGTTTCTGTTGAAATTATTTATCCACTTTTTATTTGCGTTGTGTGTTTTCTTACCACTGATGATAGAAACTTCTGTATGTCTTTGGGATACAAGGACTTCATCAGATAAATGATTTACAAATGCTTCCTCCCGGCCTGCAGTTTGTCTTTTTCATTAGCTGTGAAAAACAGTTCCTAACTGACAAAGTCCAGTTTATTAGTGTCCTTTCTTTGGTAGACCATGCTTTTTGTGTTCATGTGTAAGAGATCTTTGCTTGAACATCTTCTAAAGCTTTAGGTTTTACAATGAAGTCCAGTATTCACTGACTTGATTTTTACACACACATCAGAGTTTCTTTCTCTCTCTCTCTCTCTCTCTCTCTCTCTCTCTCTCTCTCTCTCTCTCTCTCTCTCTCTCTCTCTCTCATTTGCAGATGTTTAGGCACAGCTTACTGACATGACCACTCCATTGTCTTTGTGTCTCTGAAATCAGTGGACATTGTAGGTCTATATCTAGGCTTTTGCTCAGCTTCATCTATCTGTTTATTTCATTGAATACCAATGAAACTCACACAAACATCTGCTCCATGCTCCAGCCCTTCCATTCCTATGTATTTACCCAAGAGAAGAATGCAGCTGTCCAGACAGAGCCTTGTAGATCTGACAGTAGATCTATGTGCAATGCCCAGTTCTCTGATTATATTCTTTTGGATAGCCTAGGTCTTTCCTACTTTATGTACTTTGTATGTGTTTTAGAATCAGCTGGTCAATTTAGTGCTCACGTGTGTGTGTGCGCGTGCGTGCGTGCGTGCGTGCGTGTGTGTGTGTGTGTGTGTGTGTGCGCGCGCGTGTGTGTTTATCTACATGTGAGTGCAGGTGTTTGTAGAGGCCAGAGGTATCATATTCCCCTGGAGCTGGAGTTAGAGATAGACGTGAGCGATCTGAAATATGTGCTGGGAACCAAACTCCAGTCCTCTGGAAGAACAGCAAGTGCTCTTCTCACTGAGCCATCTCTCTAGCCCTAGTTGGTCAATTTAAAAAAAAAAAAAAAGACAGCCGAGCTTTTGGAGTTACGTATATAGTGAGTCTGAGGTGAAGTGACATCTTCCTGATCTGAGTTTTCCGACTGATCCCTCAGTTTTCTGTGTTTCTCCTGTGTCTGAGTTCTTGGCGCATGTTTTATTCTGTCTTGTGTGCAGACTTTTCACATTTTGTGCCAGATTTTATATGGAAGCATTTTATGCTTTTAACATGATTATAAATGGTATTGATTATTTTGCATTTAAATTTCTAGTTCTTCAGTGTTATATATATAGAAGTATCATCAGTTTTTGAATGCTAATTCCTAAACTTGATTAGTTCTGGTGACTTTTTTTTTAATAGATTCTTAAGGTGTCCGTATAAATAATGATGTCATCTGCCACAGAGACGGTTTCACCTCTTCCTTTTCAAGATGGGTCTCTCTAATTCCCTTTTTTTATGTTGTTACACTGGTTAGAGCTTCCAGCATGATGTTAGGTGGGAATGATGATGCCTCCTCTTATTACTGATCCATGGAAAAACCACCGAGTCTTTTGCCACAGAGTGTACTGGCTACAGTTTCTCTTAGATACCCTCTAACAGCATTCCTGTGCGGCTGATGGAGTCACCTTCTTGTCCCAGCTTGCTGTGAATTTTTACTAGGCATCAGTGTTATGTTTGGGGACATTATTTTTATGCATCTAGGATGATGATCAAAAAGCTTCCTTTTAGTTAGTTCATTTATTTGTTTGTTTGTTCGAGTTATTTATTTATTTAGAGGCAAGGTTTTTCTTTATAGCCGTGGCTATCCTGGAACTCAGTCCGTAGACCAGGCTGGCCTTGAACTCACAGAGATCTGCCTGCCTCTGCCTCCCAAGTGGTGGGACTAAAGGTGTGCACCACCACTGCCCGGCCCCTTTTAGTTTATTAACGTGGTAGATTGTACATGTCAAAGGTTAAGCTAAACTTGCATTCCAGTGAGAAAGATGTTAGTTTGTCCTAATGTCTCACCCTCTTGGTATATAGTAATAGTGTCTAAACTATTATTAAGGGGATGTTAGTTTTCGTTTTTAGAATATTCCTATCTGGCTTTGGTCTTAGATTGGCTCTTGCCTGGTGAAATGAGGAAATGTTCTCTATTCTTTGGTTTCCTGGAAGTTTTTCTAGAGAACTGATACTTGAGTTTCCTTGAATGCTTGGTAGATTTCATAGATGAGGTCATTTGTGCCTGGAGTTTTCTTAGCTGACTGCTTCGATCTTTCTTCCCACAGTTAATGCTAAGTTGTTGTGCATTCTCTTTGTGTCCCTCTATGTCTCTGTCCCTGTCTCTGTCTCTGTCTCTCTCTCACGTGTGTGTGTGTGTATGTGTCTGTCTGTCTGTCTGTCTGTGTGTCTGTGTGTGTGTCTGTGTCTGTGTCTATGTTTCAATTTGGATAGTTTCTATTGCTATGTTTTCCAGTTTGCCGATCTTTTCTTTTACAGTGTCTAATCTACCTGCTTTATTGTCCACACCAGATATTGTAGTTTTCATAACCAGCACCAGGGTCCATTCCTTGCACCCTCATTTCTACCCAACATACCCAGTCTTCTCTCTTGCTTTTTAGGGTATGATCAGAATAACTTTTCAATGTCTTGGCTACAAATTCTATCACCTGTGTCACCCCTGGGTCTCTTTCATTCATTCCTCTTCTCATCGTGAGCCAAAATTTTTGCTTGTATGCCTTGTAACTTTTTAATTGAGTGGCACACATCGTGAGCTCTGTTGTGTGGTGGAGTCTGCATTCCAATAAGCATGCCCAGGCCTTGTTCAGAGATGCAGTTAAGTGACTGTGAAATGTTTGATCCTTCCAGGTCTTGCTTCTAGTTTTGTTAGATGGAACCATATAGCTTTTACTTGGACAGGTGATTTCCTCACTGCCAAAGCAGTAAATACCCTCTGAGTGCTGCACCTGATGCCCCACACAGTCATGGGCACCCACTGTGCAGGGTGAGAACAGGAATGTATGTGCCTGGCACTGCCAGGGCAGTTCCCTGGGATCATCGCTGATGGGGTGTCTTTTTATAGTTTTATGGCGGGGGGGTTGTTGGTTTTTTAAAATTTGATTTGTGTGTGTGTGTGTGTGTGTGTGTGTGTGTGCGCGCGTGTGCGTGTGTGTGTGTGTGTGTGTGTGTGTGTGTGTGTGTTTATGAGCGTGTGTGTGGAGGACAGAGGACAACCTTCGTGTGTTAGATCTCTTTCTCCCTGTGGGCTCCTGGGATGGAATGCAGGACCTCAGACTTTCATACATTGAGCCCTCCCACCAACCCTGTTTTCTGTTGGTTTCTTGATCTAGGGTCTCACCTGTAACCCTGGGGTGGCCTGGAACTCACTGTATAGTTCAGGCTGGCCTCAAACTCTCACACGTTAATCTTGGCTACTTCCAATTCTTAGCGATGAGGTGAGAAGCTGCTGTGGCTGGGAAGATGATTCCCTGGGGCTGGGAAGGGTTTGCCATGTAAGCATGAGGACCTGGCTTCAAAACCTAAAACACATGTCTGAAAAAAAAAAAAAATAGAAGCCAAATGCAGTAGCCTGGGTCCACAATCCCAGTACTGCACGGAGCAAAGGCGGGCAGAGACAAGAGCCTCCCCCAGAAGCTCACAAGCCAGCTCCCCTGGTGTGCACAGGCGTGAACAGCAGAAAAGAGGCTCTGTCTCAAACAGAGTAGAAGGTGATGACTGACACCCAAGTGGTGCTCTGACCCCCACATGCATGCCACAGCATGCACACGGCAGCGCCCACACACATAACAATGCACACAGGCATACACATCATACACACGTGGTTTAAAAAAAAAAAAAAAAAGCTGCTATTGTTGGTATGGACCGGTTCCCAAGTCATTTGGGTAAGTAACCAAAGATGCTTACCAGGCTTTTCTCATCGACAACTGTTTTGCTTTAAAAGTGGCTGTCCCTTTCTTTGTCCGTGTGCTCTGGCCGTGAGTGACGGCAGCCACTCCACAGCCCTGCCGGCACTCCGGCGGCCAGTTTCGAAGGAGTTGCGTTGAATAGGTGTGCAGCGATCATCACCGAGGTTTTAACTCAGTCCGCCCATGACAGGGACTCCGTGCGTGTTTCCGTAAGCTCGCTCCCCATCCGTCTGTCTTCTTGGGTGTCTGTCTTTTTGGGTCTATGGATGCTTTTTACATGTGTTGTTTTCTATTGTTTGTTTGAAGACTTCTTTGTATCGTTTGGACATAAGACTTAGTTGTTGTTGTTGTTGTTTCTGCTTTTTCGAGACAGGGTTTCTCCGTGTAGTTTTGGTGCCTGGCCTGGAACTCGCTCTGTAGACCAGGCTGGCCTGGAACTCACAGAGATCCTCCTGACTCTGCCTCCCGAGTGCTGGGATTAAAGACGTGCGCCACTGTCGCCTGGCTGGACATAAGACTTTTATTGAGCGGGTTTTTAGAAGTATTTTCTCCCAGGCTCCGATTTATCTCTTCATTTCTCTGTCCTTCCTCCCTGCCCTCTCTCCTCTCTTCTCTCTCAGTTCTTTTTCTCTGCCTTGTTCTCAGCACATTCTTTTCTCCTCTCTCCACTCTCTCTCTCAGTTCTCTCTCACTTCCCCCTCCTGTCTCTCCACATTATCTCTTCCCTCTTCTGTCATCTCTGCCTCACTATGTAGCCCGTGCTGGTGTTGGACCCACAATCCTCTTGCCTTCTGAGGTTTCGGGTTAGAAACATGTGTCACTACACCTGACCCCCATGAAGAATCAGGCCGTGTTGTGGTGCCACCAAGTAACAGTGACAACAGGACAGGAAGGCAGCCAGCTCTACGTCAGGCGTGTGGCATGGGAGGCTGGGGCCCCCATGGAGGTCTCATAACATGGCCTCTGAAGAGCTGGAGGTAGGGTATGAGTCAGGAGGCAGGCTAGTGCACACGAGCTTCAAGAATGGGGCATCATGGTAACTATGGCCAGTGTGTGTGGCCAGGGGCAGGGCTGATGCAAGATGAGCACCTGACCACATCCCAGGTCCTTCCACTATGCCAAGTCATCTTCCCGGGGATCTGGCTCTGACGTGGGTGGTAGCCCCTCAGGTTTCACACACTTCCCTCTTCTCTGTAGACACCCTCTCTCCAGCTTCCAGCCCCTCCTCAGTCAGCTGCCCTGTGATCCCCGCCAGCACGGAGGAGTCCTCTGGCAGTGCACTGAACATCGAGTGTCGAATATGTGGGGACAAGGCCTCAGGCTACCACTACGGAGTCCACGCGTGTGAAGGCTGCAAGGTACTGAGGCCGTGGGTGGAAGGTGGGGTGGTCACGTGGATGGATGACTTTGCTCCTCTGCAAGATGTCCACTGCTCCAAGACCTACAGAAAGAGCAGAGAACTGGCCTCGGTGGCAGCTTGATTTCTCTTTTGAGAATCGAGGGCAGGTTGCTTCGCTGTACTTTGTAAATACTCTAGAGGAGCATTTACCTTTAAAGGAGCGTTTGTCCTTTAAAACAAAACCAAAAAGGAGGGAAAACGCAGTTGCTTTAAAAATGACTCTTCCCATGGCACCAAGTGTAGACTGCTTACTTTACCTCGGGACCACCCCAGAAGCCAGCTAGAGCAGAGATGACCATGCAGAGGAGTGTGTTTACCTACGACCTCGGGACCTCTCCAGAGGCCAGCTAGGGCAGAGGTCACCATGCATTGAGCAAGGGGCTGGCCATCAGACGTGTCCTGCCCTTGCTCAGAGTCCACAGTACCTAGCTCTCCTGCTATTGTAACTGACCCCCACCGGTCACTTCTGGCACATACTCACATCCTCCTGAGTATCTCCATCCTCTTGAGAGTCAACCTGACCTCTAGACAGGCAGGCCCCAGGCCCCACGTACATTCCCAAGTTTGTCGCTTCATGGACACCGTATATGGAAAACTGAGAGGGCCACATGTTTGATTAAAATCCAAAGGCTCCCCTCCTTCTGGAAGTATCCAGGCTCTGAGGGACTATCACAGACCTTCCTGTACCATCATTCTTGACTCACTGTCATCCGTCTTCAGGTGGGCCTGGTCTTAGAGGCCTAGTGCATGGGAACAGTGGAACCAGATCCAGGGTCTGGTTGTCCCTGGCATGCACAGTCCTTGCTCCTCACCCTTCCTCTCCATCCCACACATCCTTCCACCATCCTGCCTCCAATCCCCCAGTCTCCAATAAAGGCCTGATCGCTTCTGCATGGGCCATGAGAGTCCTCCATGTTGGGCAAGTAGAGGGGGCACTCAAAAGCAGAGGACCAAAAGCCAAAATAAATCCCTTCCTGGGTTTTCCATTTGTATCCTTTTAGAAGTGCGACTTGTGATGGGACTTTCTGTCAAGGTCATGTCCAATTGCTTTTGTTTAGTCTTGGCTTTTATGGGCTCGAGCTGTTTTCTTCGTGGGTGAAGCCTCAGTATTGCTATAAAGCAAGAGAGTTGCTTTCAAATGGCCGGCTCCCTTTTAGTGTCTCTTTAGGAGTTGGTATTGTGACCCAAGAAACCACCATTCCCTCTCCCTCTACCAGGTAGAGTCTTTCTATGATTGCTTTGAACTCAGCCTTAGCATATTATTTTCCATTTTCAATGCAATGAGATATGCATTTTGTATTTGCCCCAGTTACATGAGACTTTCTAGAACTTCAGTGCATTGTTTCTTTGGAAAGAGACAATAAGGCTGGGGGCAGTACTCAGCGGGTAGAGTACTTGCCTAGCATGCATGGAGCCTTGGGTTGGATCCCCAGCACCCCATAAAGCTGGACATGATGGTGCTCAGCCATGTGGTCCCAGCACTTAGGAGGTGGAAGCAGGAAGATCAAGAGGTCAAAGTTATCCTTGGCCACAGAGCAAGCTCTTTGGCCAGGCTGGGCTGCATGAGATCCTGTCTCCAAACAAATCAGTCAATCAAAAATGCACAAGAGAGCTGAGTGACACCAGTCTGGTGACCTAGAGCCCATGTTTAAATTTTGTGTTGATGCCACAGGGCTTCTTCCGGCGAACTATTCGGCTAAAGCTGGTGTATGACAAATGTGATCGGAGCTGCAAGATTCAGAAAAAGAACAGGAATAAGTGCCAGTACTGCCGCTTCCACAAGTGCCTGTCCGTTGGGATGTCACACAATGGTAGGTAAGGCTGCTGGACACACTGTGCCAGCCCATGACTCAGTTTATCCTTCTTGTCAGAATGACAATATTTTGAATGGGTGTGCTGTAACATGTAAATCTCTCCAGGAGCTGGTTTTTGGCAGAGCACTTGAAAATATTGTGGTGAGACTTTGCTGTCAACCTGGGTGGGGGGTCACTGGGGTGGCAAGATGTCACATCACTTCTGTTAAATGTGTGTTGGTTCAAACACTGTACCACACTATGAGTTTCATTTTCTCAGCCTTAATCTAATTTAGAACATGGTTCCTCATGAGTGTAAATCAATCATTTAATCAATCAATCAATCAATCAATCAATCAATGTATTTATTTACATGCCTGTAATCCCAGCACTCAGAAAGCTGGGGCAAGAAGAGTTTTATCACTTCATGGCCAACATGGGTGACATAGAAAGACCCTGTCTCAAAAACTACAAAATAGGCCTGGAGATGTACCTCAACTGGTAGAGTGCTTTGGCATGCATGAGGCACTGGGTTCCCAGCACCATGTAGACCTGGACTGTAATCTGAGCACTTGAGGGGTGGAGGCAAGAATCTCAGGTGTTTAAGATCATCCTCAGCTATATAGTTCGTGGAGGCCAGCATGAGACCCTACATTAGACCCTGTTTCAAAAAGAAGATAGATAGATAGATAGATAGATAGATAGATAGATAGATAGATAGATAGATAGATAGATGATACATAGATAGATAGATGATACATAGATAGATAGATGATACATAGATAGATAGATGATACATAGATAGATAGATAGATAGATAGATAGATAGATAGATAGATAGATAGATAGATAGATGATAGAAAGATAAGTACATAGATAGCTATATAGATAGATGATTAATAGGCAGATGATAGGCAGACAGATGACTGAAAGACAGATCATAGATGGTAGATAGATAGATGATAGTTCACTTTCATCCCCTTCACCTTGGCCGATGGCCTACCTGAGGACAGTAAGCCACCCCATTTATCAGCTGTGTGTTTGGTTTTCAGTCTGTCTGGTAGAAAGTTCAGTCATAATAAGGAATGGGTTTGGCTCGCCATTCCTGGTGTGAACTTTCCATTCTGCCTTTCGACTCTGCCTTGGTCATCAAGTGCCTGGATCATTTCTACATCTCCCCTTGTCCCATCCCCACCCCAACTCCAGCAATTCGCTTTGGACGAATGCCAAGATCGGAGAAAGCAAAACTGAAAGCAGAAATTCTCACGTGTGAACACGATCTGGAAGATTCGGAGACTGCGGACCTCAAATCTCTAGCCAAGAGAATCCACGAGGCCTACCTGAAGAACTTCAACATGAACAAGGTCAAAGCCCAGGTCATCCTCGCAGGAAAGACCAGCAATAACCCGGTAGGTGCTCCTGCTGCCCTTGGGACCTTGAAGTATCCCTTGGCGACATGTGAGCTGGAGTCACGGGAAATGACTGAGAGCATTGTCCAATGTAGAAAATAGAATTTATCCTGAAGTCCAAGGAAGGGCCATGGAAATACACGGGGTCATTCTGAGACTCTAAGATGTAGCTTGACACCAACAGCTGCCTTCCTGCCTGGGCTCGCCTCAGCTCCTAGCAACCGAGGCATTATAAAAGCTGTGTAATTGATACGCCAAAAATAATCTAGTTAATACCTTACCTAGTATCGGGGTGTTTCTTAAGTGCGTTTTAATCCCTATTTTAAGGGCAGAAATGAAACCTATTCCTTCCCCCACTCAAAACACTCCCATTCTTTCTGCTAAAGCGATCCCCACCGCCGTCCTTGTCCCCATCTTGCTCTTCCTTCACTGTGATTGGCTCAGGTCTTGGGGAGGGTCCTTGGTTGACCGGACACACCTCGTATGTTTGAGCTTACCCTTGTGTCTGCAGCTCCTAGAATACTTGCCTGGCTCCTGACCCCCTGTTCCCATGGGTGGATAAGCCTGTGCTCACTGAGGAAGGGTGTCTGTCAAGGGCCGTTTCCACAGAGGGACCAGCCCTCACTTGGCTCATAAGGACTCCTGCCTTTTTCCTGTGTGCCTGGTATGACAGGTTCCCTGTGTGCTAATGAGTGGCTTGGAGCCTTCCTCCTTGGGAATTACGAGCTAGAATTTTCAGTCACAGGAAAATGAAGGATTTCACAAGCTACATACTTTAATGAGCAAGCCCGACCTCTCTTTTCCTGAATCTTTTAATTCTTTGGTGAATTCTCCAATGATGTGAGCTGAGGCATTTTAGAAGGTTCCAGCCAACACCACACCGGGTGACCCCAGAGGCCCTTTCCAATTAGACCAATGCATTGTTCTCAACCTTCCAAAAGCTGCAATCCTTTAATACAGTTCCTCATGTTGTGGTGACCTCCAACCATACAGTTATTTTGCTGCTACTTTATAACTGTAATTTTGCTACTGGTATGAATCGTAATGTAAATATCTGATATGCAGGATACATGATATGTGACCCCAGAGAGGGTTGCGACCCACAGGTTGAGAACCACTGGATTTGACCCTTTCTGGATCACAAAGTAAAGTTTGCATTTCTGTGATAATGACCCCCAAATAAGAGAAATCAGAATTTCCATTTGAGGCCTTCTGTTTCTCCCTCAAACTTTGAGATTTAGAGCAAACTTAAGAGTCAACTTTATTCAGGCCCAAATGCTCTGCTTGAACATTGATTTGATCGCTACCGAGTAACCTCTGTTTTCTTCACCAGGATACACAAGGTTCTTAGGAGGGTCCCACCATCCTCTGTCTTGAGGAAATCAAGACTCATGTGGAAATGAACGATAGAGTAATGGCCCAGGGCTGGAGGCGGCTCCGTTAGAAAGACAGAATGGGGAGAGGGGTTTGGGAGCTGGCTCAGAGTTCAGTGCCTAAGGACCTGATTTTGGATCCCAGGCTCGTACATAAAAAGCCAGATGTGAGCCAGGCGGTGGTGGCGCACGCCTTTAATCCCAGCACTTGGAAAGCAGAGGCAGGTGGGTCTCTGTGAGTTTGAGGCCAGCCTGGTCTACAGAGGAAGTTCCAGGACAGCTAGAACTGTTATACAGAGAAAACTTGTCTCCAAAAAAAAAAGCCAGATGTGGTCATGCGTATCTGTAATCCCAGCACTGTGGAGGCAGAGACAAGAGGATCCTGGAGCTTTCTAGACAGCAGGCTTAGCTACATCAGTGAGCACCAGGTTCAGTGAGCGACCTTCTGTCAAAAAATTAGAGACTGACTGAGGAAGACAACCAATGTCCAACTTTGGCCACCACCTACACCCTCATGCACCAATGCACCATACAAACATGTACACACACACACAGACCACACATCACACACACACACACACACACACACACACACACATTAATGGCTTATGGCAGCTAACTGCCTGCTTCAGCCCCAAATCTCTGTGCAGGGACCAGCTTTAGAAGCAATATCCAACTGTTCTGGACCACACTGTTGGCCAGAGGCACCTCCCACCTCCAGGTCTCATGGCATTTTCAGAGGCCGGGCCTTCTCTTCCTGCCCAGCCTGCTGGCCAGCTTCCCAGAACTTGCTGGTCCAGTGTGAGACCCCATCTTTCCTCTTCCCTCTGTGCCCAGCCCGGGAAATGTCCAGGTGGCAGGGTGCCTGCCACCAGCGCCACTGACCTGGCATCTCTGCAGAACTCTGGTCTTGCTGCCACAGTGGCATCGAGAGACTGTAGGCTGTGTGTTTTAGAAGATTTTAAATATTTGTTTTGTGTGTGTGTGTGCATGTGAGAGTACGAGTGTGTGTGTGTGTGTGTGTGTGTGTGTGTGTGTGTGTGTGTGTGCGCTTGAGTGTATGTCTGTGTACCACATTTATGTAGAAGCCTGTGGAAGTCATTGGATCTCTTGGTACTGGAGTTACAGGTGGTTGTGAACCACTGTGTGGATGCTGGGAACTGAACCCCTGTCTATAAGAGTGGCAAATGCTCTTAACCTCTGAGCCATCTTTCCAGCGCCATGTTTTATGATATTTAGAAAGCAAGCACTTTTAAAGGCGGGAGTTCCTTTAGGGAGATCAGGCTGTAGCCCTGATGCACTCAGCTTGACCTGTGTCCCGTGGCACAATACTCAGTGACTGTCAGGTTCTAGGCTGGGATGACAGGCCCAGCAAGGCCCTAGCAGAACATAAACTGTGTTTCAGCTGGTAAGCAGTTTAAGGTGCATGGATGTGATGACCATGAACTTGTCAGGTAGGGAGATGGGCATTCATGCCAACAGTGCCCAGCAGTCTTGCTGTCCTGCAGGCCAACTAGGGCAGGAGGAGTCACAGACTCCACACCACATACTGGGGAACAGGAAAGCTTGTCTGGTGGTATGTCCGAGCAGTCTCTAGTTTGCTACAAGTAGAGGTCAAGTCCCTCCTTGTAAAAGACCCACCAGAAGAAGTGGAGACCCAGAGACATCCTAGAACTGCTCGGGAGATGAGGACCTGGAGGTAGGATTTTGTTAAGGTCTGAAGGCAACTGTGGGGGAAAGGTGACTTTAGCTGGGAGAAGGGCTGAGGAGACAGATGAGACCATTGGTTTCCTTCTGGACCCTGGGTCTGATTTGAGCCCCTGGAATTTCAGACACATGAGCCAGAAAATGGCCAGGACCCCTGGTGATGGCCCTAAAACACTTCTTGGGACTTATTCCCTCTTGATTTGAAAGTGGCAGAATTGGAAACAGTTGTTCCTCCTGAGCCTGGCTTCCAAAGAGGCCTTTTGATAGCTTCTTAGATGTCTAGAAGGTAGGGCCAGAGATGTGGCTCTTTAGCTCGTAACTGCCTGTAACCCCAGTTACAGAGGGTCTGCTAGCCTCTTGCAGCCTAGTTGGGCACCTGCATGCACATGGTTCAGTTAAACTCTCTGTCTCTGTCTGTCTCGCTCTCTTTCACACACACACACATACACACACTAAATCCATAATTAAATAAATCTTAAAAAATAAAAAGTCTAGTCACCATATCAACCTGTCCTCCGGGCGTCACTGTGTAGCTTTAGCTGGCATGGAACTTGCTATGCAGACCAGCATAGCCTTGAACTCACAGAGACCCTCTTGCCTCCTAGCGCTGCAATTAAGGACCTGTGCCACTGTGCCTAACTTTTTTGAGTGAGAGACAATGTCTCACTAGCCCAGGCTAGTGCTTTTAAACTCATGGGACTCTCCTACCTCAGCCTTCTGAATACTAGAATAACGGGCATGTACCTCCATGCCCAACCTACTTAGAATTTTTAAAGAGTAATTGTGTTTTTAATCATGTGTAGATGGGTGTGTGTGTGTGTGCACACATGAGTGGAGGTGCCCACAGAGGCCAGAAGAGGGCACTAGAGCTGGAGTTACAGACGTTGTGAGCGGCCCAGTGTGGTGCTGGGAACTGTACTCGGGTTCTCTATAAGAACAGTGCTTGCGCCAGGCAGCTATGGCGCATGCCTTTAATGGCACACTCGGGAGGCAGAGGCAGGAAGATCTCTGTGAGTTCGAGGCCAGCCTGGTCTACAGAGCGAGATCCAGGGCAGGCACCAAAACTACACAGAGAAACCCTGTCTCGAAAACAAAACAAAACAAAAAAACAAAAAACAAAACAACAACGAAAAGAACAGCGCTTGCTTTTTAACTCCTGAGCCAGCCATCATCTCTCCAGCTCTGACTCAGAATTCTTCATTGTCTTTTAGCAAGAGGGCAACTGCTCATTCTGCTTCACCCTGTGAGCTGTGTAGCTGAGGCTGCCCTAGTCCTTGGAGAGGCCCTCCAGTGACAATCAAGTCCCCTGGGACCCACCACTCCCCACAGCCCCCTTCTGGAAGAGTTGCAGTGCGCATTCGCCATGTCAAAGGCTCCGGGAGGTCCCCGCCCTGCTCACTGTGTTTCTCGGCATCTTGGCTCTGTACTTGCTTGCTTTCCGCTTTTCTCTCCGCTGCGTGCACGTGAGGGAAGGTCAGTGTAGCACGAAGGTAACGACACTGTCTCAGCCAGTGTTCTCTTGCTGTGAAGAGGCTCCATGACCACGGCAACTCTTATGAAGCAAAGCATTGAACTCTGGGCCCAGGGGACCCGAACCCCTCTTCTACCTCCAAGGGAACTGCATACATGTGGTGCAATACACATTAAATGATTTTAAAAAATGGCTCACGGACGTTCTATGGGCCAAAGTCAGAGCCAAGCTGCCAGGTATCTTGCTTACAGATTCATGCTCAAGACCTTTTAAAAAAATAAAAAGATTTTATTTATTTATTTATTTATTTCATCTAAATGAGTGCTCCATCTGCACATACTCCTTTATTCCAGAAGAGGGTATCAGTTCCCACTACAGATGGTTGTGAGCCACGATGAGGTTGCTGGGAATTGAACTTAGGACCTCTGGAAGAGCAGACCGTGCTCTTAACCATTGAGCTATCTCTCCAGTCAAGACCCCTTCTTAAGATACCACAGCAATCACAGAGAATCACACGCACACCCTTGTAACATCTGACAGAATGTGAATGCTATAGAAATGATCATTATGCTGGAGGGTTTGGGCAATAATGATAAGGGAAAAAAAAGTCCCGGGGCCGAGAGTCTGACTCTGTGATAGAGAAGCTTTCCCAGCCTACACATCTCCAGAATTGCAAACAATCTTTAAAATCGGTACTCACTCAGTATGGACATTTAATTTTAATCATTGAAAATTATATTAAATTTAGTCTCTAAATGTGTAGGCATGCACGTGGAGGTCAGAAGACAGCCTACAGAATCAGTCTTCATCTCGTATGTAGGTCCCAGGGATGAAACTCAGGTTTTCAGGCTTGGAAACAGATACTTTTACCTGCCAAGCTATTCCACCTGCCCTAAAACACGTCCACCAGACCTACTGTATTTCTGTAGTCCCTTTAAATCAGACTTTTTCTGTTGTTTTTTTCTGAAGCTTAACTGTCCCCAAATTATTCCAAAAGTGGTTAAGTGGTTATCAGACCTGTTGTTAAGACTTTGAGAGAAACTCTTTTTTTTTTTTTTTTTTTTTGGTCTATCTTGTTCTGACTTGAGATACTCGGAAGCTCGGCTCTGAGTTTTGCCCATAGAATGTCTGTGAGTATGATTATTATTATTATTATTATATGTGTATACGCACTTTTGCCTGCATGTACATCTTTGCACCATGTTTGTGCTGTGCCCTTGGAAGTAGAAGAGGAGTTAGGGTCCCCTGGGACTAGAGTTACAGGTTGTTGTCAGCCACCTTGTGGGTGCTCCGTGGAACCAGATACTCTGGAAGGCAGGCAGTGCACGTAACCACTGAGCCCTCCCTCTAGTCCCACAGTGAGTCATTTTCAATACATCTGTCTCCTTTCATTAACACGGAGGAATCAGATTTTTTTGGTCCAGCACTGTATTTCAAGACCAGGCGCTGGCTGCTTAAACACCTCACAGACAATTGCTTCTTCTCCACACATCTTCCTACCTCTGTACCAGGCACATCCCAGGTGCCTTGACTGTGCATCTATTCTGTGGTTCCTGAAGATGCTCTTGACAGCTGAGCATGGGAGTGGGGGGAGAGGGAGTGCCAGGAACCTCCTAGGTAGCTGGAATGCCCCTGCTCTGCGCTCAGATACACCAGGAGGGATTGAAGCAATACCTGGCCACGTCATTGGTGACCTGTGCTCACCCACTCAATATAGATATTACATCCTGTGTGTGTGTGTGTGTGTGTGTGTGTGTGTGTGTGTGTGTGTGTGTGTGATAGATGGTCACAAAATCCAGATCCCTTAATTCTGTCACTTCTGCTTGACAAATATGAATTCTGGCCAGCGGGAGGGTAAATGCTGGCCTTCTCAGGGTCCCTGACATTTAATCCCTCTGAGCACAGTGACTGCAAACAATTGTTTGTTCCAGCAGCGAGCTGTTTTTTAAACAGTTTTATATTTTTAAATTGTACACATTTGTGGACTATAGTTTGAAAATTAGATGCAAGGACAAACTGTGTGCTGATGAAATCAGAGCACTATGTCCCCCTCCTCAAATACTTGTCAGTGTCGTGTCTCCAGAAAGTTCAAACTCCCTTGAAATTCCTTATGAAAAATGTAATGTATCTGGAGTCAATGGCATTGCCAGACCTCTCTCTATCCCCTCTTCCTTCTCTCCAGAGTCTCTTCTCTGCTCTGTTCCTGTGAGGCCAACGTTTTTAGCACTCCCATGAACGACAATACATGGTATTTGTGCCCTCCAGTTTCTTCCATCTGGTGACAAGTACCAGGATGTCCTTTTTATGGCTAAATAATATTCTATTGGCATATTTGTTCGTCTGTCAGTGGACATCCTTGTTGATTCCACATTTGTCTCTTGGGAATTGTGTGGCAGCAGCTATAAAGATTCGGCATCTCTTAGCTAATTTCCTTTGGTCACTTTATTTGTTGCTTGTCCAGTTGCTCTAACAAAATACCTGACGAACATAAACTAATGCTGGGTTGATTTTAGTTCACAGTTTGAGGGTCTGGTCCATCGTGATAGGGAAGGCATGGTAGAGCACGTGGCAGCCGGTCACGTTGTGACCACAGTCAGGAAGTAGAGATGAACAGGGCTGACTCTCCTTAAATTCAGTCCGGCACTCCAGCCTAGGGGATGGTGTTGCCCACATTCAGAGTGGGTATTCCGCCTCAGATAAACCTCTCTAGAAATGTCCTTACAGTTCATCTCATCGGTGATTCTGAATCCCACCAATCTGACAATCCAGAGGAACTGTCACATGCTTACACAGTAGTGACAAAGCTGGGCTGTCCACTAGACCTTTCTAAAGAGGCAAGACCTGCAGGTGTGGATGCCATGGTGCTGCGGCATCGAGGGGGGCAGGCTGGGATTTGGCCCTTGTCCCAGGATAGGCCACTGACATGAGGCTGTCTTCTGCCCTGAAAGGCACGCTGGGAGCTGTTCCCGCTCCTACTCCACAGAGCTGAACAGGCCTGTTGATTTCTACACAAAGCCAGTCATGTTTAGCATATATTTGCATGCCTGCGTTTATATCCATGCACGAACTTCCTGCCTGGTGCTGCATGCATCAGAAGAAGGCATTAGATTCTCTGGAACTGGGGTTAGGAACGGGTGTGAGCTGGAAGTCAAACCGATGTCCTCTGCAAGAGCAGCAAGTGCTCTTCTTACCCACCAAGTCATCTTCCCAGCCCTGACAACTGTTATTATCTTACTGACTGATTTTGTTAGTTTTCTGCCAAGTCTTAGATTGTCCGATTTTGAAGTTGCCCGATGGCGGGACTGTGCTGCACATGTATTTTGAATCAACCAGGCACCAAGCTTGGAGACTCAGCCACGGTAGCTTATCGTGAGCTCCCTGATGTTTAAGGGAACTGCATAGTTTGTCCTAGAGGTATCACCTGATTGACTCCAGCACCTTCCTTTGTAGCCTTTTGTCATACACGACATGGAGACCTTGTGTATGGCTGAGAAGACGCTTGTGGCCAAGATGGTGGCCAACGGCATCCAAAATAAGGAGGCGGGAGTCCGAATCTTCCACTGCTGCCAGTGCATGTCCGTGGAGACCGTCACCGAGCTCACAGAATTCGCCAAGGCCATCCCGGGCTTCGCGAACTTGGACTTGAATGACCAAGTTACCTTGCTAAAGTATGGCGTGTACGAAGCCATATTCACAATGCTGTCCTCCATGATGAACAAAGACGGGATGCTGGTAGCCTACGGCAATGGCTTCATCACGCGAGAGTTCCTCAAGAACCTGAGGAAACCATTCTGTGACATCCTGGAACCCAAGTTTGATTTTGCGATGAAGTTCAACGCCCTAGAACTGGATGACAGTGACATTTCCCTTTTTGTGGCTGCTATAATTTGCTGTGGAGGTAAGTTGATATGCCATTGTTGAGTACTTACAGGCTTTCTCTCTAGAGGAACTCAATGGTTGTCAATACGGTGCCAGCCTGGGCTCTGATACAGTGAAGTGGGCACTGGCAGGGTGGGATGGTTTCTGAGCCCAAGTTACTACCAAGTAGAATTGAGAATATACCTATTATATGTTGTGGTTGTATTCTTATTATAGTATCCATTAATGCATATTGGCATATTATATGCCTAAATTAAATATATGTTCCACTGATCATACAATTATACCAAATGTAAGTGTCTTAGATACACATAATATATGGTGATAATTTGTACTATTAATATTATAATGATTGTAGTAGATAATAGTACAGAAAGTACAGTGCAGGTGTAGGTACAGCGCTGTTGCTGTTAATGCTGATGTTAATTCATGCTGAAAACGATCATGCTAACCGGAAGCAGCTGCCAGGTCTGCTTTGCCAGAAGGAACGATCCCAGTGCAGGGAGATCGGGCCTCTCTGGGGAAGCTGGCCCTGTGGTCCCTGATATTTGGCTCAGCATTGCACTTCTTTAAATAGTCGTCTCTCTAGTCTGGGAAGGTCATCCACCTACTGTAAGCCCAGCTGACCTTGCCTGGCCTTGGCATAGATCTATGGGTAACCATTCTTCCCAGCTGCCAGAAGCCATCCTGCCCTTCACAGTCACTGACTGGCTGGTGGCTAGATGAGCGGAAGAGGTGTCGTTACTCCTGCAGAGCAGAAAACCACCACAGCTCTATAGAGTTTGTCGGGGTCCCTTGTGGGATGGGGTATGGCGGGGAGGGTCGGAAGCCAGTGCAGAGGTACACACACACCCAGCCTTTCATGGCTACAGTCCTGCCCTGATCCTGTGGATATGGAAACTGCTCCATAGGGAAAATAGGAAACGTGTCATGGTGAAGCTAAAGCCATAAAGAGTGGATCCTTCTGCCTTTGTAAACATTAGCCGTGTGGTTGGGAAGACGGCTGTCGGGAAGTTGCTTGCCACACAAGTGTGAGTGCTTGAGTTCAAACCCAGAACCCACATTAAAAAAAAAAAAAAAAAAAAGCTGGGTGTGTGGGCATGCTCTTGTAATCGCAGTGCTGTGGAGGCAGAGGCACACAGGTCCTTGGGGCTGGCTGGACAGCCAGACCTGCCTCCTTGGTGAAGAGTCCCAGGCCAGTGAGAAACCCTGTCTCAAACAACAATGTCACCTGACCGCCACACACATGGCCCACCTCAAATACATACAAACACGAAAACCTTAGTTATTATGTTTATTTTACTACTGAAACAACGAAGATTAAAACCTACATCAGGAGCTGGAGAGATGGCTTCAGTGGTGAAGAGTATGTGCTATTTTTGCAGAGAACCTGAGTTCAGTTCCCAGAATCCATGTCAAGATAGTTCACAGTTGCCTAGAACTCCAGCTCCAGAGGATCCCATGCCCAATTCTGGCCTTCTGGAGAGCTGTACTCACGGGCATCCCCCACCCTCCCAACACACATGTTGTATACACATAATTAAAATAAATATATAAAAATAAAACCACTTTTAAAAACAAGATAAATTTATAAAAGAACACATTTTAAATTTCAATCAGATTATCAAACTAAAATATCATAATTGTATATTCTCTACATTTTGATTACCATGGTGTCTGCTTTGCTTTTATACATTAAGATTAAATTTCTGGGGGCTGGAGAGATGGCTCAGTGGTTAAGAGCACTGGCTGCTCTTCCAGAGGTCCTGAGTTCAATTCCCAGCAACCACATGGTGGCTCACAACCATCGATAATGAGATCTAGTGCCCTCTTCTGGCCTGCAAGCATACATGTAGGCAGAACACTGTATACATAATAAATAAATAAATAAATAAATAAATAAATAAATAAATAAATAAATAAATAAGTCATGATAAAAAAATAAATTTCTGAACTTTCTGTAAAGGAAAAACTGATACAAATGACATAATAATTGGTAATATGGCTTAGAGATGTCACTACACTCTGGAAACAGAAACAAAATAGATGAAATAAGCATATGTTATCAGTAAGATGTTCCAAATGTAAATAAGGACCAGTGAGCTGGGCCAGTGGGCAAAGCTCTTGCAAGCCTGACTGCTTCTGTTTGATCTCTGAAGCCAAATAAAAGTAGAAAGAGAAAACCAGCTCCCAATAGCAAACATGAATTATGAAATAAATAATTCTGTATTGTAAATAAAATGTTGTCTTCTATCCCCATACATATGCCAAAAAGAAAAGATAAACACTACATCATTAGCAGCTTTTAAGCCCTAGTCATGGATGGATGAGGCTTTAAAAGGCACAGCTGTCTGGATGGGCTAGGACCTGAGACTGTACCAGGAAGGTCACCTGGTGTGAGCAATGGTACTTCCTGCTGGGTCCTCTCCCAACTCCAGGGGCTCCTTGGCATACTGCCCAGCCATGATCCTCCCCGGCCCACGTCACTTCTCAGTCTGCTGGGACTCACCAGAGATACCGATAACGTTGCTTTAAGGCGGAGCCTGATCCTGTCCCACTCCTTAGGTGCTTAGCTTTCATCCGGGAGGAAGTACTTCATTTTCTACACTACACAAAGATGTGGCATGGTTTGGGGCTTGTCAGGCAAACCCAAAAGTAGAGACTGCACCATAAGGGGGAACCAGCCCTATGTGCTGGTCCTGCAAATAACTAGGCGTGTTAGTCGTCTGTCCCCATCAAAGCCAATGACTGTGGAAAAGTCGGTCTGAACTCTGGTCAGGTTGCCGTGTGAAGGTTACTCAGCGCCCTCTCCACGGGGCCACACGAAGCAGCAACACTTGGCTCCTCCACGGACCAGTGGCTCTCGGATGGTCACACTCAGACGTCTCTTTCTTCTTTTGAGCGTAGATCGGCCTGGCCTTCTAAACATAGGATACATTGAGAAGATGCAGGAGGGTATCGTGCACGTGCTCAAGCTCCACCTGCAGAGCAACCATCCGGATGATACCTTTCTCTTCCCCAAACTTCTTCAAAAAATGGTGGACCTTCGGCAGCTGGTCACGGAGCATGCGCAGCTCGTGCAGGTCATCAAGAAGACCGAGTCTGACGCCGCATTGCATCCACTACTGCAGGAGATCTACAGGGACATGTACTGATTTTTCTTGAGATGACCGTCCAGGGACCTCTGAGGTCTGCAGCCGCACACAGGAGAACAGGGATTTGCACAGATGGCCACCCTCCCACCCTTGGAGATGAAGAGGGCTGAGCCTAGGTAATGGAGGCTCCTCCCACATCTTTCCTTTCTGAATGGGCACTTCTAAGAATGCCTGCTACTCCAATGCTGGTGATCGGAGGCTAATAGGATTCAGACAATCACGGAGAATGGCAATCCCCGGTCTGATCTTAACTGGTCCAATGTTAATCAATGCACCTCTCTACATCACATTTATAATTTGCCATTAATTAACGTGTAACCTCCCAAGTCCTCGTGTTCTTTTCTCTGCTTACCCGTCCTTCTGGCTGTGTGTGCCCTTGTAAATCCCGAAAACTAATCTGCACTTTTTAATCTTTAAAACCTACAAGTCAAGATGTAGCCCAAGGTTAGCCATTTAAACATGGCAAAAAAAAAAAAAAAATGTTTACTGGGAAGGCTTCACTTCCGTTTCCTGGCTCTAAGAAAGAGAGCTGGCTTCTGAGAACATTCAAGAATGGTTAGAATGCAGCCCCATCATTTTCTTTGTTGATTCACTGTTTTGGGGGGTGTAACTAATGTGTGGGGGAGAAAAGCATTTCCGGGTTTGCATAGAAGTTCCTGGAAAGCTACAATCTCAAGAAGCCTCAGGAGGCTTGAGCTAATGTCTGATACACAAAGACAGGATGAGCCCTGAGTGACTAGTTCTACAACCCTGTTCATGTTAAACCCGGAGCGTGTGGGCATGACAGCAATTCCAGAGATGGACTGACAGATTTGTAAACGCTCTTCCAGGCCCCTCTGGCAGCTCCTTTAATATGACACTTTATGGCTTTTTTTTTTTTTTTAAACTATTGGTGGGGAGATATTACCTGGAGTAGAGAAGACAAAAGTGATTTTGCTACCCAGGTTGGGAGGATCTGGTCACCCTGGATCCTATTTGTACCCAATCAAAGATCTCACAACACTTGATTGGTTTGTTGTTGTTGTTGTTTCAAAGAATTAGATGGTAAAGTCCCTTTTCCTCGGTCCCATTGGGAAGGCAGTGCTGACTATCTTCAAGAGAAACATGCACAAAGAATTCTCAGACCTCACAGAGCTGCCAGTACCTGCCCTCCAAGAGGGTGGCTGCATATTTCAGATCAGGTTGTATCTTTTATGGCCCTGCCCCATCTTTAGAAAATTTTGGCTCTTCCGACGTCATCATTATTTATTATATTAAAGAATGATCAAGATGGATACTGCCAAGGAGTTGAGGATGTAGCTCACAGTCGGTAGAGGGCTTCCCCTAATCCCTAGTGCTGCTTTATGCCGGGCATGGTGGTACATGCCTCTAACCTCAGCTGACGTTTAAGGTCACCTCGGATACATAATTAAGTTTGATGCCAGTCTGTACTGCATGAGACCCTGTTTGGTTTTTAAAGATTGATGGTGATAAAATGTTCGCAATCAGTATTATGAAAACAGTAGAAAGAAAAATATGGCCATGGCATTTCAAGGAGGAAAAAGGGAACATGAGGATCAAGACATGCTTTAAGATTTGCACACTTGTGGTCGGGCGGTGGTGGTGCACATCTTTAATCCCAGCACTCAGGAGGCAGAGGCAGGCGGACCTCTGTGGGTTTGGGGCCAGCCTGGTAGGGTCAGCTTGGTCTACCCAGCTAGTTCTAGGACAGCCAGGACTACACAAAGAAACCCTGTCTCGAAAAACAAAAACAAAAAAAACACTAAGATTTGCACACTTACTGGCTTCCTCCCTTCCTCCCCCTATAACGGGTCTCTTTCTGTCCCACCAGCCAGCTCCCAAATAATGGCACAGAGACTTCTTATTAATTGTGAAAGCTCAACCTATAGCTTAGACTTGCTCCTAACTAGTTCTTATAACTTAAATTAACCCATTTATAGCAACTGTGGTCTGTCACGTGGTGTTACCTCTCTTCCACCTTGCACTTTCTGTGTCTTCTCCATGTCTCCTGGAGTCTTCTGCGTGCTGAGATTCCTCCCCCTCTTTTTTTCTCTCCCCGAAAATCCCACCTATACCTCCTGCCTAGCTATTGGCCCTTCAGCTTTTTATTACACCAATCACAACAATACATCTTCACACAGTGCACAAATATCCCACAACACCCCCCTCTCTCTGCCCAGGCTCTTTGAGAATCAGAGGCAGAGCAAACCATTTCCACGTATGAGCCCAGTGAGGGTTGAGCTCCTTCAGGAAGAAGCCAGCCTTTGTGGCACATGGCCTACCAAGTCATTGGCCCTTCCTGCAGAGCTAGAGCTGGTCCTAGGTTTAGAGGATCAAAGGTTGTATTCTAGTTCCAAATCTCTTCTGTGCCCCTGTCCCCCACCAGGGTAGGCTCCTGTTCTTATGGGCCTTAGGCAAATGCCGCTCCAGTGTAGGTGACCTTGGAAAGTGAGTCTTGAGTCATAGTTTTTTTTTTCTATTTGAACTTTCATAAAACTTATGAAAAGTAGTCCCTTGCTGTATGTATGCTTTCAGCATGGACCACAGAGCTGATTGACAAGTTCTATGTCGGTTTGCATCTTAGCTGATGCTCAGTTGTGTTCATGAAGATTTGGTTATCTCAGAGAGTCAGTAAGTTATCCTCAGTGAAGCCAGGAGGGACCACAGTGGCCTCGGCTTGAAAGTCACTGGCTTTGTGCACTCTCGTTAATGGGAAGGATATTCACGATGTGGCCACATAATCAGGTCGCTAGTCAGACTTATCAAGGTGACAGTAACCCAAGACATGCCAGGTCAAATACTGTGGCACATTTAGGAATTATGGTGTGTAAGGTGTCAGTGGCATCAGCCAGCAGCCCAATAAGAGATGCCACCTTGGCTCCTGGCGCCCTAGAGCAGGGGTGTGGAGCCACTTCCCAGCACTGATGGCAAAACTCCCCTGGTGCCAGACTCCTTGGAGACCGATGGGGACCAAGTAGCCTTGCTGTCCCTCCTCAACTACTGGTGTGTTCAGGAGGCTGTGTGTAGAAACATTTGCTGTTAAAGGGAGCATGTGCAGAAACTGCTGTCATCTACTGAACCGAGGTCCATCATGACTTCCTCTATGATCTTGTCTACAGGGCCTCTCCACCAGCCCCTCCCTCCTCACCACCTCTTTCCAACAGTCTCTTAGGCCCGTCCCCAGCAGAGTTTCCTTGAAGCAGACCTTTCAGGAAAACATGGCCCTTGCATCTGTCGGATTCCAAACATATCTCACGTTAAGCCTTTATCTTAACACACCATGACGTGGGGTCTGTTGGACACTCAGCAGCCTGATGCATGGTGGAGAGGGATTTCTGTCCTGCCTCACCGGCCATGCGTTTTGAACATGTCTTGCTGAACTTCAGCTGAAAGTTTTTCTGTTGCCCCGAGATTGACCAGCCTTTGGCCCGGGGCCTCCTCCAACTAGAAAGCCTACCACCTTCACAGAATCTCCCTTTCACCTGTGTGGCCTTTCAAGAGGAAGATTCCACTGGGAAAATGCAGCAACTGCTCACCCAGCATGGAGCGTCCCTCGCACAGCCTCTGGAGGGCTGAGAACAGGAACCTAAACCGACCTTTAAGTAGACACCACCAGCCCGATGGCTGGAGGGCCAGCCTGGTTTCCTGGTGGCCCACCAGGCTCCACTCTGTCCCCAGTATGCATTTGTATGACTGACACCCTGGGACAGAGTGAGACAAGAATATTAGAGCAACAGCCTGAACTCAGAACAGAGATGACCTTTGTCTTTCTCTGAAAACACAGCACACCGTAAAATCCGCATGAGGACAGGTTTGGGTTTAAATAAGTGGATCATGTTCCTCACTGAGCCTCCTCTGAGGAATGTGTTGGCGTCTCTGGTTGTACCTGAGTGGGGTGGGCTTCAGGCTCATCAGGAAATGATGTGTGGCCCCTTATCAGGACAGAGTGTGAGATGCTGCTGCCACCTGGCCTGTCACCATCCTGGGACCCCGGGGACATTTTCTCAGCATCAGACCCCAACAGCTGTCTCATCCGCTTCTCAGAATCTCATCTGAGACATGAGAAACACAGCCCATTGCTTTGCTCCCCCAAGAGAGTTCATTTTGTCAGGGAGAATGGTTGCATAGTGAGGAGCACCTTCTGGGGAGTCCTGTGCCAACCAGAATGGACCAAACTGCATCCATGGTCAGGGCCGCGTCTTGACCAAGCAGCTGACAGCACCCAACACCTTAGTGGCTGCCAGGTGCCATTCTTGGCAAAAGGAAATGAGAAACATCAAGTTTTATGTCATACACAATGGCCATGTTCCGTTTCATATTCTTATTTTATTTAAGTTTGCCAGTTGGGGTCAAATAGGAAAACCCTGGAGTTCTCTGTAGAGAGGGGGAAATAATGATCTCCTCTTCTCTTTCCCCTGTACCCAGCTTCCAATTCATTTATTCAGTGAAACATGCTTCATCCCCAGGGCACAGGTCATCCTGACAGTGGTGAGGCCATGGCAGAGGCAGGTGGATCTCTGGGCTCCCTGGCCTGCAGGGGGCGCACTTGGGCATGTTTCCCCGGCCCCTGGGACTTGTCCAGTCACAGAGAGCCTGGATTCGGGCCCTGAAGACCAGTGAGTTGCTGACCTAGTGAAGTTGTCACTGTGGGAAAATTCACTTTAAAAAAAAAAAGGCACAGCCAGCTCTTTGGTCAGGCCTGAAACTAAGTGTACCTCACAACAGATGAATGCCACTTGGCACCTTTCTCGGAAGATGTCAGTATTATCCATGTTACTTGTCACTGTGTTTTCTGCACTGAGTGAAAAAGAATTCTCTTCATAGCTGTATCTTAAATACTGTGATTTCTGTTTTTGTTTTTTTAAACACTTTGATACAAGTAGTTGACTAGCTTGTGATCGTGTGTCTAATCGCCAACACCTGGAATCTTCTAAGTCGGGGTTCAGGGAGGTTTACGTTCAAAGCCTGGCTCTCGAACCTGCTCGACACACCGCTGCCCATGAGTGCACACCTCACACCTGAACTGTGCACCATTTCTCCCCAATGTGTGAATCTGCTCCTTTAGTCGATTCTTTTTTTTTTTTTCCTCCCCTTGCAACAAGTGTAAACCAATCTGTTTGTATCCATCTCTGCCAGCCAGGCCTTTTTGAACCCTGGCTGGAAGTCACCAACTTTCCACCAGTGTTTCTATCAAGGCCACTGAGCAGGCTTGTCGGGTTAAAAGCTGTCTGCTATTCAGGGAATTGTGACCTATGAATTACCAAAGAACTGTGGCGATCTGAGCTGTTCCACTGCGTCCCCATGTCATTTCCAGTGTCCTGGCCACATTTCTTCTTGGTGTGTCTTCGTAACACCCTCCAAGTTCCACAGTCCCATCACACTAGAGCCCAAGGAGAGGGGTCTGATGGACACACACAAGGACATGAGCATTTCCAAAGCAAGATCTGAGCCCGGCTTTCTGCCACCTGCTCACGACTGTCCTTGGTGCCCGACCTGGGGGCTTGCAGCCCTTCACTTCTGTGATAAGAACAGTTCTGAGTGGGGATTATTGAGCTGGTGCCAACGGCCTCTCACACCTCCCAGCTGTTTGTGGATACAGGGCTACCCAGGACATCAGGAATCCAGGGTGAACACAGAAGGGCAAATAGAATTTTCTAGTCATATGAACTGATTGGTTCCAGGCAATTAGAAAATGGCTATAACTTAACCTTAATTAAAAAAAAATATTGAGTCTTCTTCATTTTCTCCATAGGAGATTGAACTGACTATATGCATTGATTTATATCCTGAATTTATGGGAACCTGTATGTTTGGAATGTCCTACTGTAAGACTGATGAATGTAAAGAGTTAATTTCAGGGTACAGTTTTGCCTTAATGGTTTTAAAAAAAAAATAAACTATTTTTAAAAATTAGCTGGTTCATTTTGAATGATGCTGGGACAGGGCTGGTTTGCACAGACCAAGCCTTACAGACTGGCCCTGATGGGATGCACGGAGTCTCTAAGCAGATCAGTGAAAAGGTTACTTAAACCATTAGCTTATTCTTCAGGTTTTTAATTATAAACATGCTACAAGGTCAAGGTTTAAATCATTCCCCAGGCATTGCACAGGATGTGACGTAACCCTTGCACATCCTCAGGCCTTGCCACTGGCCCTCAGAGGCTCATTTCCTACAGGCAGATGACATCATGTTACTTGGAAGTCCTGGAGAGAAGTGAGGTGTCTCCACAGGTACAGCTACAGGAAGTGTCTACCAACTGTCCGCTGAAGGAGGCTCCCTCTCCCTCACTCCTGACCCCCACCAGAGGCCAGCCCTGGAGCTGCAGCTGGATCCACTCTTGCTGTCTGTCCTCAGTCTTGGCCGGCTCCTCGGTTCCCAGGGCTGCAGGTACTCCACAGTTCAGAGAAGGCCAGCTACACAGCTCCCAGGCGGAACCTTGGCCGAGCCAATACAACCATGCACAGGAGGCTGTGTGCCTGCCAGTCAGGGATGGCTGGAAGGTCTCTTGGAAGCGCCCTTTCTCTTCTCCACATCCTGCCGGATTTCCTGAGGGAAAGCACTGATATTCTCCTGAACGCAGGGGAGGCAGACCCTCTTGGAGTAGAACAGGCTGCAGTCCTGTGAGAGGGAACAGGGCTAGAACATTGGGGGACACAGTGTCGCCTCCCCCACATAAGGCACAGGGAGATTCAGCAACCTGAGCAACAACAAAAAAAAAGCACCAAGGGCTGGCCGTGGCCATCCTGCTTGAAGTTCTGAGGAACAACCCCTTTCAATGGAGATCACTGGCCCCTTCCCTTTGCCCTTGTGACCCAAAGGATGGGCTAGCTGTCAGCTAAGAACCCCCACCCTTTCTCCAGCTGGTGATCAGGAGGTCCCCAGATCTGCCCCCCCCCCTTTCCACACAAATGGGAAGTCCCCAGGTGTACCTACCGGGCCCACACACACCAGCCTGCCGCACACACTGCACCGCGCGCCGAGGACCAGAAACCTGGCCTTGTCTGAGGAGAAGGGATCCTTCATGATGTAGCTCTCCTCCAGGAGGCTGTGGAAAAGGGGCATTCTGCTGTGAGCCATGGCAGAGCCGTACAGCCGCAGCAGGAGCCACAGCAGGCAGGAACCAGTTGACCTATGCAGTGGGGAAATGGTAGAAAGCCTGGCGGCTGGTGGACAGGTGGGAACTGAGACCTGACCCGGCCTCAGCTCCACAAGGCGCAGTGGAAGCCTCTCAGTGCACCCCAGAGCAAGTGGGAGTCACTAGGTGGGCTCATGAGGTCAGCAAGGGGGACAGTCTTCTCCGTCCCGCACACATCAGGATGAGAGCAATCGAGTGGCATGATAAATCCAGTGAAGACAAGGAAATGAGCCTGGTCCCCTGCCGCTTTCTCACGTGATGCTTGAAGAAGGATGAGCCGCGCACATCAACAAGCTTGGGACCATCTCTGCTCCCGGCCTGCATGAAGCAGACCTTCAGGAAGCTGGTCCTTAGGAACCACTGGGAACCCACCCAGCCCAGATACCACCAGCAGGGACAGCATAGGGCACAACCCCACATGAAAAAGCCACCATGCTCCTTCATTGCTGTTTGGCCTGGGCCACAAGGCTTCCACCTCATAGGAAGATCGAGTGCCTAACTGTCAGCAGCACCTACAGGGAGGGCAGGGAGTCCTCACAGAGTTTTTTAAAAAGCTTTGCAGCCTTGCCTGGGACTTCCTCGGGCTATGCCTGGAGTATTCAGAACAAGGGCAAGGACTGATCTAAAGTACAACACCCAAGCCAGGTATCATACTCTGCACAGCACCTGCCAAGCAGTACTGGACAGAACTTCTTGAGCACTGGCCCAGAGTGCATACTCACACAACAGCTTGGGTGTCTGGGGGCTTCTGCCCCACGTAGCTATAAGGAGCTGTCAAGGCACAGAGCTGGCACTCAAACATGCCCAGGGGGCGGGGCTCTGCCTCGGATGCCATCTGTAAGACCAAGAGAGGGGGCATCACCATCGGAACCAAGAACCATCACACTTCAAATCTGCTCTGCCTGCTGTACATATCTCATCCACAAAATGCAAGCCTCCTTGACAAGTAAGCCCAAATCCAGAGCAAGTAACACCTGCTCAACGTCACCCAGGTTTGTCAAGTGTATAAGATTGATTGTGCCTACTGGGTCGTGGTGGCACATGCCTTTAATCCCAGCACTCGGGAGGCAGAGCCAGGCAGATCTCTGTAAGTTCGAGGCCAGCTGAGTGAGATCCAGGACAAGCAAACAAAACTACAAGGAGAAACCCTGTCTCGAGAAACCAAAACCAAACCAAAACAAAACAAAAAATATTGACTGGGCCTAGCCTGGGCTACAAAACAATGTGAAATCAGAGAGTATGGTTTCCATTCCCACATACTTCTACTGGATAATTATCTACACTTGTTTATTTGGGGAGAGATTGTGCATCCATGGAATTCATGAAGAGGTCAGAGGACAACTTGCAGTAATTCTCTCCTACGGTCTAGGTCCTGGGGACTGATCTCAGGTCATCAGCCTCGGCAGCCAATGTCTCTAACCCCTGAGCCATCTCACCAGCCATACTTTTTAATTATATTTTAATTGATTGATTTTGTATAGGTATGCATGAGTGTATTAGTCAGTCAAGGTTCTCTAGAGTCATAAGACTTATGGAATGAATCTCCATATATATATGAATTTACTGGAATGACTTACAGGCTATAGTCCAACAATGGCTAGCTATGAATGGAAAGTCCAAGAATCTAGTAGTTGCTCAGTTCCACAAGGCTGGTGTTTCAGCTGGTCTTCTGTATATTCTAGAATCATAAAGTAGGCTCCCAGGCCAAGAATGGACAAGGCTTGGGCAAGCAGGTGAAGAATGAATGAAGCCTTCCTTCTTCCACTGAACGTATACAGACCTCCAGCAGAAGGTGTGGCCCAGATTAAAGGGGTGCCTTCCTGCCTCAAGATCTGGATTAAAGGGGTGCCTTCCTGCCTCAAGATCTGGATCAAAGGCATGTTGTCTTCTTGCCTCAAGATCCAGATCACAAGTGTGCCCTCCATTTCCGGATTGTAGTTCATTCCGGCTGTAGTCAAGTTGACAACCAAGAGTAGCCACCACAATGTGCCACAGAACCAGTGTGGAGCCAGTTCTCACCTTTCACCATGTGGGACCTGGAGATTAAATTCAGGTCAGGCTTGGCGGCAAGGCACCTTTTTCTGCTGAGCCATCGACCTCACCAGCCCCGATTTGGATCATTTCTATAGACTTCCTTCAAGTTCACGGGCAATTCACACCAACCCATAGGCCCCTTGAAGGTATTCCTCCTCTCTACTGTTAACTCCTCCTCTGCTGAAATCCCCATCTGTGTATGCATGTTATGGATCTTTTCCACTGGCACGATTAAGACGTCCGCGATGCTTTTTTAAAACCTCCCATCTGATAGTTCTAACATCCGAGCAATGTCTGGTTCTGCTCCTATTGATTATTTTGCTCCTTGGCAGCAAGGAGGTCTCCTTCTTCTTGCTTGTGTCTCAATCTGGGTTATAAGTGGGAATTGTCTCTAAGGTGGCAGAGGAAAAAACAGTATTTAGGGCCCAGAGTGGGCATGTATGCCAGGCCTGTGCTGTTTGAGGTTGACTTAATCCAGTGAGTAACTGAGGTAGGTTTGGCTTTCCTGGTTGTCCTTCTGTACAGGCTTCAAATTTCTCTAGCATTACTTGTGCTTAGAGATTTATTATGTGAGATTTATTGGCCTCTCAGATACTATTTAAGGAAAGATTCATGTGCCTCCTGCACCTTCCCTTCACTGGATGCAAGAATCTTCACTTGCCCTAGAGCATACTTTCCTGCCCTACCCAAGTTGTCTGAAACTTTTGTTCCCTTGGAGATCCAGGTAGATAAATTTACAGCAACCACAGCCTTCCCCAGGTAGGCTTACAGGAAAGCTTTTAGACTTCCTGCTCTGCCCTCAGCCTTTCTTACCAGCACCCAGTGCATGCTGGTGAAAAGCCCAGGGTGGGTGCGAAGTCCCCCCCCCCCCGTGGCTTCCCGCGGTCGAGTCCTGGTCTACTTGGTGTGGCTGCATTCTTATCTGTTTGGATGGCACTCCTATTCTCATGTGTATCTAAGGTCTTGGAGGCCCTGCCTCTCTGTAGATTGCTGGCTAAAAGTGGTCCGCCCACAACAGCTGTCTGATGAGTTGAAGAAAACACGATTCATAGACTTTTTTACAGCGCTGTATCAGAATTCCTACCTCGACTTTCAAAGTTCCCACACAACCCATAAGCAGCCCCTGACCCCAGCTGTGCCCTCCTCTACCCCTTCGGGTCCTGCAGAACCGGATTTGGAGCCAGAAGGAACAAGCCTTGGAAACTGGCCGGGGTTCCGAATGATGTCTAAAAATGAAAGTCCTATTTTGGGTGTGCGCGAACCTAGCTAGTTCTGTTTGGTATCTTAACTCGCACGTCGTCGCAGGCCCTCGCCGAGGCTGCTGGGCGCGCTGCCCTTGCAGCAGGTGACAGTCAGGAGACAGTCCCAGGACAGCCGGACTCCGCCAGAGCCTCCGCCTCCCGCTCAGTCTCCCCGGGTCAGGAGCAGGGCTCCGCCTGGCGACCAGAGACACCTACGGCTCGGATTCACACCCACCAGCCAGTCAGCCGCGTGCAACCCTCCCTGCGCCCTGAGCCGGGTATGTTAGGTCTAACGCCTCCCTCTCAGCTTCCAGAAGCGCCGAGGCTAGACCCAGTCAGCCCAGCCGTGGAGAAAGAACGGTGCCGCTCATCACGCGCGTCCCCGCCACACACGACCGCGCGCGCACTCACCACCTCCCCGCCGAGAGTCCCACGGCGCCTGCGTGGCCCGCCCACAACACTAGCTCCGCCCCATGGGGGGGGCCTCGCGGCCCCGCCCTCGATCCGCCGAGGCCCCGCCCTCGGTCTATAGTGTCTGCGCGGTCCCGCCCCGCAGAGCGGGTGTGAGCCTCACGGCGCCTACCCGACTCCACCCGGTCCCAGCCTCCGAACTCAAGATTAGTCTAAGGAGCGTCCTTGTCCCGATAGAGCTTCACCGGCCGCTTCCGTTTCCGCTGCAGATGTCTATGGAGGTTGTGGATCGCTGCTTGAGGGCCTGTCTGGGCTTCTTCAGGACAAAGCGTACTGATGACGGGCAAAAATAAACAAAAACCGATCCTCCCCAAGTGTTGCTTGGTGAACCAGTGAATTTATTGGGGTTGTTTACAGGGCTAAAGGTGACTCAAGTAACTGCAACATTGAAAAGCCTACCCAATGGGGGTGACGACCTGCCTGCACGACTTTCCACCTGTCTCGAAGCAGTTGCTGACTTTCTCTAACTTTGGGAAGGGGCTTTGTGGATAGTCTTTGTTTGTCTATTTGTTTGGGGTTTGGTTTTGGTATTTCGAGACAGGGTTTCTCTCTGTAACGGAGCCCTGGCTGTCCTGGTACTCGTTTTGTAAACCAGACTGGCCTCGAACTCACAGAGATCCGCCTGCCTCTGTCTCTCGAGTCCTAGAAGGCATGTGCCACCACACCCAGCATGGATATTTTTTAAAGTAAAAGTTTGGTGAGTTTTCTGATTCTTGTACATCCTCCTCTGCCTCCAGGAGAGAATGCTTCCATCTCCAGGAAGGGACTGTGTACCTTCTTTCTGCGGCTCTTATTTCTCCACCTCGTGGGTAATGTTCCCCAACCTTGGAAGGGGTTACATAGAAGTCTGCTTACTTTCTTGCATTTACGATTGGGCATTGGACGGCTGTGCCACAGGAATAGGTATTTATTTACAGTCGTTTGACTGATTTTGAGTCTCCTCAGTTAACTACCACTGCAAAAAGAACAGCAGCAGTCATCTGTGGGTTGATAAACACAGGCGTTTAGAAGGCAGGTTCACAGGCATGTCTGTTCACTTAACAAGAGTGGTACTGTCCCCACCGGAGCCTATGACCGCCAGCCACTAGCTGATGGCTAGCACTACATCACAGATGTAATAAAACCCTCTTACAGAAGATGGGCAGAATCTCTGAGTACCTGCCGTTCCAAGCAAGTACCAATTGAGCTTGAGATTAAGCAGCAGAAGGATGTCTATAACAAAGCCATTGGCAACGTACAGTACAACACAAAACAGCTGGACTGTTGAGTGCTCAGCCCTAAAAGGGACATCTGTATCACTCCCACCCCCAACAAGGCTCAGCAAACATCTCAGAAGAGGGGTCAGAAAGAGCAGAAGAGCGGAGGGAGGGTCGGGGGAGGACATTGTGAAATTCTGTCTTTTGGGCATGACATGGCTGTTGGCCTCATGAGTTTACAGCAGGTTGCCTGTACAAACCTACGTAAGACCAAGCCAGTCAACATTCCAGCATGGATGCAGAGGGACTTACGTGGCACCACCCTATCTGAGGAGTTACTGGCAACTAATGGCTATTGGGAAAAGAGGAGTCATGTTTCTTTGGGGTTGTGGCCACTTATAGGTTGGTCATGGTCCTAAACCCATCCAAAGTAGGCAGGATTCTGGATGATAATGATGATGATGATGATGATGATGATGATGATGATGATGATGATGGCGGCATCATGATGGTTGGAAGAGGAAGTGTTGGGTGAGTACAGAAGGAGTGGAAGGGATTGGTGGGAGTGGATAGATTCAAGGTGTATTATATACTTGTATGCAGTTGTCCAAGAACAAATTCCAAAATAAAGCTGAATATGGTAATACAAGCCTTTCATCCCAGCACCAGGGAAGCAGAGGCAGGCAGATCTCTGTAAGTTCAATGTCACCCTGGTCTAAATAGTGAGTTTCAGGACAGCCAGAGCTATGTAGTGAGGTCCTGTCTCCAAAAAAGTATAGAGTGCTGTCCAGGTGAGTCTTAAAAGTCACAGGATGCTGATGTGAGTCTAGTGCAGTCATGGCCTCATTTGTGTTTTCCTTTTCTGGCCCTTACCTTTGAAGGCAGCCACATATATGCCTTGATCCCTTACACAGAAATCACTGCACAGGTCACAGGAGAAATCTCGAATTTAATTCATATAAAACTTAAAGTGGTGTCAGCATAAAGGCACCTGCTTCTGAATAAACTGTTAGCCCTTGTTCTTCTTGAACAGGAAACCACATTTCCTTACTCTTAAATCATCCACCAAGTCAAAAATATAATAACCAAACGCCCAAGTCATCAGACACATACTATTATATTCAGTACATAGAATGTGTACCATATTCCCACGTGGACCTTTGTGCACCTTTGATGGAAATAGCCATGTCTCTTGGTCAGGGAATGTTACCTGGTGCACTAGAAATGCTTAGCCTGGGGGAATTAATTGGGAAGCTTCAGATCCCTGTCCCCTGCTCTCATCTCTACATTCTCAAACTCTAAAGTCAGTCCTGGGACTCCCCTGCAGGACCCCTCTAGCCCTGGCCCGCAAGAAGGCTGGAGGAGAGGGGCTTCCCAGGCATGGTCTGCAAAGGAGACTCCCAGGAAGGCTGGCCAATTTGTTTCTGCTTAGAGGCAGCTGGCCTGAGGCTAAACACAACGGGACCTGGCCACCTCTTTCCCTTGAAGCTGGATCTCAAAATCAGTGGCCGTCACCCTCCACACTGCTGCAGGCTCCCAGGAAAGGAGTCACCGAATCCCATCCAGAGGGAATCCCACCTTGCCATCCTCTTCGCTCCCCAACATTCCCCTCTGTTCATATATTCTTACTCCCAAGAGTGGGGCCCAGAGTGGGGATACTTCAGATGTGGAGACGTGTATGACCGAGCCATCCGACATTCTTCAGTCCCCTTAACAAACATTCTTAGTGTTTGGGGACACTCTTGCTTGTGGCCCTTCCAATCCTCACCAGTCAGACAACAAGGTAAACCATTTTCTTCCCACTGATGTTCCTGGTCTTCAGCCCCAGGAACCGGCGACTGTTCTTCTCTGGCTGCCCATACATCATGTCGACGAAGAATTCGGATTGGTCTTTGTCCCTAGATCGGGAGGTGAGAAAGTCAAACCCAGATCTTAGCTTATCACACAGATAGGTTATTGCCTCTGCCTCATCTGATGGCTCCTCATACACAGGCTGCTTCATCTCGTCGTAGGCAGACAGAATCACCGCCTGAAACAAGTTGATGAAGATACAAATCATCACCAACATAAAAGATGACAGAAACAGGACCCCAAGAACCCTGTTGCTGGAAAACTCTGTGTTCTGAAAGGCTGACACACAGTAGGAGAAGATGGTTTGGGTGGCGTGGATCATGTTGCTATAATTCCATTCATGCTGACCGAACACCAGGTACCCAAAAGCTACATACATGAAGGAATACATAGATACCATCAAGGCCATGTGGCAGATGCCAGGAAGGGCAGCCAGGATGGTTTTCTGGGCCAGGCGCACATTATAGAAGAATCTAGAATACCTGAGTGTCTTCAGGATAGTCAGAAATAACAAGAAAGCCAAGATGATCCTCATGAATTGATCAACCCGAGAAACGGCATGGAAGGGGATAAAGGTTTCGGGGTCACTCAGGTAAAGCCGGACCATGCTGGTGGCCAGGAGGTGCTTCTGGAAGAAGAGCACTATCAGCAGAGTAAACATGCACTTCAGAGCCAAGTTGAGCAGGTTGTATACACTTCTGAAGTAGGAAGCTCGCTCTTGCGTGATGACGTAGCCCTCGTCCACAACATAGGCACAGAAGAAAATGAGGATGGCTACGTACAGGTAGATTTCTGCCGAAGTTTCTCTGTTGAAATCAGCCAGTGAGAAGGAGTACACAGAGAGGCTGGAGTTAACGATACCTAAGGGAGAGACTTCAAAGACAACTGAAACGCTACACATCAGACTGGCATCTGGATTCAGGGTGGTTAAGTCCACAATCACTGCCCATGTCATCTCATCAAGCCAATTCTTTCCCTCAAGTTCCTTGAGCCTCAGTGTGGAATTAAACATCGGCTGTTCTGGAAAGAAGTCGAATGTGTAGCCTCCAGATCCATAGGTGTTTAACACGCCATAGGAATGATACACCCATTTCTTCCCGGGAGGCTTGTAAGTAAACCCATTGCTGCTTTGGTCTGTAGACCGCTTGCCAGCCTTATTCCAAACACTGGAATAGTGTCTTGTGTCTTCTGGGTCAATGCCATACTGTGGGTGACAATGGATTTCTCCCTCAATGCTTCTCTGCACAAACTTCTTGGCCAACAGACATGTTTTGTTGCTAGGCTTGGCCCTCACTTGCCTCATGAGCGGAAGGCCAAGGATTTTGGATGAGCTGTCTGGAAGGAATGTTGGGTTCAGGTCATTGTGTAACAAAGGCAGGAGCACACTGTGGAGCCATGTGTAGATATCTCCCAGCTTCATCACGGTGGCAAGACCCACGGAGAACTGATGGCGGATGAACTGGTTATAGTAGAAGCTGTCATTATGGCGCAGTGAGACAATGAGCAGCAGGAGAAGGGTCAGGAATATGAAGTGAGTCACAAGGTAGCTCAGGAACAAAAGGGACCTCCTCTTGATCCTCTTCTTCCTCCTGAGTATTTGTATTTTGTCCTCGGTGATGGGCTGGTATATGCTCGAGCCTCGGAGGTAGTCCATGGCCTCGTGGAGCTGCTGCATCTCCTCTGGCGACATCTTTGTCTCCTGCAGCCTGATTTCTGTGTAATGGTACTTGCTGGACCACGAGATGTTTTTACAGTACTTGGGATTTTTTGTCCTGGTGCCTGACACCAATAGAATCTTGCCTGGTTGTACAAGGAACACAGACTGGCAGAAAGAGCAGAGAGATGCAAAGAGCCACTCTACTGACTTGTCATAGCCATAAGTCAGGCCATAAAACACAATAAAGAATGATGATATGCCAGAAGTGGTAAACACCAAAAACCAGGCTATGTAAACACACCATCTGGGCAGGATAATCTGGGTCTTGTTTTTAACAGGCTCAGTAGTTTCCAATTGGGTAGAGGAAGCTTTCGAAGAGGCATCTTCACTGTCTTCTATGTTATTGTTACTGAAGTTTCTATTGGACTTTTGGGTGTCTGGGGCCATGCTGTCTGCTTTTTTATTACTCTTCTGGGAGGTTTTAGGGGCCCTCTTTGAAGACTTTGCCCTGGTAGCAGAGGTGGACTTGGCTTTGTTGGCGAGAGCCTCCATTTCATACTTATGCCATTTGTCCAATCGCTCTTTCCAGAAGAGACCTTCCTCTGACATCAGGGGGTGCTTCTGAGGTGCCACCTTGTCTAGATTCACTCGAGGTTCCTTCTGGGAATAGGTGAAGAAAAAGGTTATCAATAATTGCACGGGGATTGTGATTAAGACACTTTCGATTCCTATCATCATGGACCTGATGATACGCCCCTCTCTGGATTGGGTTTGCTCTTTTCTGTTCAGATTAAAAAACATGATATTACAAACGAGAGAGCTTAGCAACATGGCCAAGCAGCAAGACAGCCTCTGGAGCCTATTGAACGGTCTGGGGACAACATCAGTGAAAACAGAGAACCACATGTGGTTTTTGCCCAGCTTATGGCTCAGGTCAATCAGGAAGAAGTCTGTCCTTCTCAGAGGCTCATCCGGGTTGGTGACAGGAAATGTCGCATCCAACGTGGTGTCCACAGAGAGCCACTTTCGGCACACAAACAGCCAAATGCGTCTGCTGAAGAGATTTTCTACTTTGATGCGACTTAGGTACCAGCTAGGCGCTTTGCCTTCGTTGTCATGCCACACTCGGATGGAGTGGATGTCCCCCAAGTCATTTTTTGTCGTCAGGAGGAACGTGTTGATGCTTCCTCGGTAAAGAGTTCTAAAATATGGATGGCTTAAACAGTGCACATCACTGGTACTCTCTGCTCCCATAAGCTGGATAAAGACATTGGCTCTGGTTCCCGACCCCAAGCGACTCCCAGTAAAGATGGTAACCAGGTAGCATATGTTATCAAAAGGGTCGTTATCGGGCAGCACTACCACATGGTCCCGAAGATACTGATCCATCACATCCCTGTGCAAGGCCCAGAAAGCCAGAATAACATACAGGATCATAATGAAGATCACAGCCAGGAAGGTCGCAGGGTTTTGGTCAAGGTTTGTAATGACCTTTAGCTGCAGATCCACAGGGTTAGGGACCACGATCACCTTAGCCGTCACAAAGTGGGTGTGCAAATGAAGGTAAGCCATCCTGACAGAGGCCAGCTGCCGCCGGCTCCGCCCCACATTCCTGCAGACGCAGTGTGCTTTTCTCCACGTGGTCTTCTCGCCCAGCACACAGGTACCTTCTCGCCAATCACTCTGAATCCCGTACATGTCCAGACAGTGAACCATGAAGAGAGCAATTCTCACTAGCTTGTTAGTGGGCTTAAAGACAAAACGAGGTGCCTGCAGGACCATGGATATGTTATACTTGAATGAATGGTGGCGCTCAGCTATGATTCGAAGCAGGGATGAGGGCAGACAAACCACACGGGCCTCCTTGGTTGGACAGGTCGAGTCAAACTGGCCGTTCCACTTGACGATGGGAGGGATGTCATGAGGTACAAGGAAAGTGCCAACCAGATTGGTGGGGGTGACCTGACTGCCCGCATATATCAAGGCCTTGAACAACACTGTCACTTTGGTGACAATGTGGATCAGTACCCCTCCAGTGCCTCTGCTGTCCACCTCAAAGCTAATTCCACCTGTCGTTATCTTTGAGAACCCAGCACTGTCAATGCCTGGTCCCACCGTAAGGTTAAAACTCGCAAAGGTCAAATCTTTTCTGACAACGTACACTTCTGCTACGTCGGGTGTGATCTCTATGACACTACCGTTGTCTGTGGCTCCTGTCATTCTGAACCCTACCACCTCTGCAGAAATGTTTTCCGGGTAAGTTAACCAAGGAAAGGGGTCATCGGTGAACTCACAAAACATCGTCGAAATTGGAGCGTTGGAAGGCAGACTGGGAACCCTGCTGGCATTCAGTGTCGCATGCAGGCAGTTTGGGCAGAGTGTCTCATTTCTGAAGACCTTAGCAACATGGGAATTTTCCACCTTCTCCACATACATGTTGAAGTTGCTGGTCCTCATTACAGTGGTTTCACTCCCTGGCACCTTGTTAGCCAGTATTGTGTCTGATAGGGCTTCGACCACATAGAAAGGATCTTGGAACACGTAGTAGGGGTTAATCAGCTTAAGAATGTTAGACAGACTGGCTAGGATGCCAGTGCCCACAATTTCAATGTGCCGGGAGTGAAAATATTGGTTCTTGCGTTGGTACGCTTGCAGGGCTTGGTTTGCTTGCCACAGTCGTAACGTGGCGCCCTCTGAAACTGCTTGACCAGAGCCAGAGGCTTCCTGGGTTAATTTGGTAATCACCATCACCACCTGGCAGATCTCATCCAGGGTGCTCATGGCGGGCACAGAAGACTGATTGACAAGGTGCTCTAGGAGATGGGCTCTATCACCTTGGAGTTCCAACTCCCATTTTATGTTATTCAAGACAGAAGCCACCACATATATCAAGTAGCCTGCGGGTAGCCAGTCCTGCTTTTGAAACAAAGTGGAGAGTGGAGATGTTGGGTCTGTGGTGAAATTGAACAGCTGTTGTAAAATGGTCTTTGAGGAGTCCCTGACAGTAGGCACCTGTACAGTGGCATGCAAAGTCACCTGAGAAAAAGTCCCTAGTGAGTCATAGACCTGAGCATACAGCTTCAAACTGTAGTGGTTTGACATCACACCCACAGGAAGAAAAAAGGCGGGCGTTGTGGACTGTGCCCCTAAATACGCGATGGGCCCCAGTGTCTGCTCTTCTACTGAACTGATTTCGCCAATGCTGTCCAGCTCAGCTACTATTATCTTATACTCAAGGGGGAGGTTCTTATCCTTAAAATCACTACATTCAACAACAAATTTAGTAACCATTGAAATCCCTTTAACTGGATCGATCTTGCACTTGCCAACCTGAGGGCCATGGTTCACGAAAAAGGGATGTCTCAAATTCAAGGTTGTCCCACTCCAAGATAATAGATGCAGAGAAACCCAAAACCCATTTTCCAAAAAATTCCTGAAGGCGAATGCTTTTATAGATAAATAAGCCCCATTTCTCCCGGTGACAGCTTGTCCTGCCCAGTCAAATGTCACTTCCTGACCTGATCGAGACAAAATGGACCACCTATAGAAATCATGGCTGGCACAACCTGTGCAATCCAGAAACAGAGAGAATCTGTCGGACACAACTAAAGCCGAACCACAATTTTCAATGCATGAAATGTGCGCCCTGGGTGGAAGTCCTTTGAGTACCTGTACAGTCTTATCGGAAAATGCAGTTCTGTTTTGTTTCCGGACTACCATTCTGAAGTAATACACACCGTTGCCCCTAAGAGTTTCTGGTGGAATGGTTAATACAGGGCCCACTGCCCAAGGCCAGTTCAGTGTATCCTGCTCTGGGTGACAGACATCCTGGGTGGTCACTGGTATGTAGTTGCCAACGTAGTATCTAGGATTTGTGGTGCAGTACCAAAAAAAATGGAGTCCCGCCGTGGGGATGTCTGCCTCTGGGTCAGAGGACATGGTTCCATTCAGAATCAGTTCATCGGAGAAATTCACAGTCATGCTGGTGGCGCTGGGAAGAAGAACAGCCTTCAGGGGGCGTTTTTTAACCCAAATGTAGATAATATCCGAGTCTGTCAGCGGGGGCAAGGTGGGATCCCACCTGATGATGGACAGCGTGAAGTTAAACACATACACCCCGTAAGGCAGGGCTGATTTGGGGATGTGGATGGAGGAAAACTTCATCACCCGCACACGTGGCAGGTGCACAGGATGGTTCCAGTCAGGCGTGTCGTTCACAGAGGCCACCGTAAAGTACAGCCAGCTCTTGCGAATGACCATGGCTTCAGGGCAGTCCCACGACATGGTGACGTTGAGGGTGAGTTCCTCTTTCCTGCTCAGGATAAGGGGAGCGTGCTTGTTTTTCCTGTTGATCTTCACCGGCTGCATGGCACAGGGGGCCCTCTGGCAGGACACCGTAGCCTTGGCGGCTGCGGGGTCCGAGGAGTTGGCTTTCAGGAGGACGCGTGCAGCTGCGCCCGAGGGACACCTACGGGGCAGCGTAGGGCCAGCGCCGCGCGGGGCTGTGCGCGGGGACAGGCCACCGGTGCCACCGCCCCGGACGCTGCTCTCCGCGCCCTGCCCCA